TCAAACGCAGTTCGCAGGGGTCAAGAAGATCCTAGGACTGCGCAGAATGTCTCCTTATCCTGCATCGCGAGACTCGGCATGGATGGAGGCGCTATTTACTTACTTTGATGCTATCACCGCCAGCGTCAACGATCGGGAAGCTCAGCTCAACACCTCATTCTATGGCCTTCTTCCCGACTCTCAACTTCTTCCCCCTGGTACCGAAAACCTTGTGGGCTGCGATCGTGAATTGTTCAAAACGATTGTCAAGCTAGGCCGTCTGAACTTGCTTTCCCAACATCGACCAGTACAAAACCTCCTGGCCAATGCCCAGCGTGGACGCGGCAGCAGCATATCTGGCACCCCTTCGCCTCTCAGTGGCAGCTTCAAGCCCTCCCCGCCTGAGCACCATCACATGTTCGGAAGCTTCCAGTCTATGAGGTTTGAGGGCAGCGGATTTGGCTCGGCCATGGAGGATGACGAAATGATGGGGATGGGCCACACATCCATGGGATACGACGATCATGGTAGCACATTCTGGCGCGAGTGGAAGGATGCGCGCACCGCCCTGCAGAGCTGGGAGTTTGACGCATCGAGGGTAGTAGCCTCGTTGGCCCCAACACCGTCGTCGCCGCCTCCTACAGGCTCACAGGTGCGCGACCTCAGCTCGCTGAGCGAGGCATTCCGGTACGCAGCGCTTCTGTATACGGAACGCCTGGCCAGTCCCCACCTCCCCAGCTATCATAGTCACTTCCGGGATCTGGTTAGCCAAGTTGTCTACTATGCCACTAGCCTGGAAGCAGGCAGCGGCGCGGAAAAGTTCTTGCTCTGGCCTCTGTTTGTGGCTGGAAGCGAGTGCGTCAACGTACTACAGCAGAATATTGTCCGGTCCAAGTGCCGCGATATTATGGCTCGCAGCGGCTACATGAACAACATGGCTGCCTTGGACGTTCTGGAACGCCTGTGGGCAGAGGATGTCAAGGAAGATGGTCCCGGTGCCAAAATGAGGGGCATGATGCGCAGCGGACCATTCAACTGGTCGAGGTGCATTGGGGGACCCGGTGTGGATGTGGAATGGATCATGTTCTGAGGTTTAACAAGCGGCATGGGGGGTGGGTGTATGCTCACCATGACAAGGTGAAAGGGGGGGTTGCTTTGGCTTACTACTGCTATTACTACTTACTGGTGTTTTGTCCATCTTTTGGGAGCGGGATCTCTCTGTTTTCGGGTTACTTCTTTGGTCTGGGTCTGGTCACGGCGCTTAGGCACACAAAAAAAAGCCTTTCTTCACATGTACTACTATATGCATATATGACCAGGGATGGATGGGATGACGGATTGGGGAGCATACGGGGAAGGGACGGAAAGGCTTTTGCTCTTTCGGTTTGTGGGTTTGTTTAGCTTCGGATAGGGAGGAAAGACAGGCTAGTTGGGCAGGCATCTGGTTCTTGCCCCCGTCGAGAGAAATGAACAAAATAACCAACATGCACGTCAATCCGAACTGAGATTTTGCGCCCGAACAGCAGTGAGAGTGAAACAAATGGAAGGAAAGGAAGGGCCCCGGGCCCAGCGGACCCTGACACTCGCTCCTACCTTGATCGCGGGGGTTCATCAGGCTCCATCGATCACTCCTCCCCGTTCCTTCCTTTCATCGGCTTTCGATGGCATTTCGGTTTGGAAATGCGCCTTCTCTCGGTTCTTTCCCATCTCTTCCACCGTTCCTATCCGCCATGTCGGGCTCTGAGTCCCCCAACATTCATACATACGTACATAAGGTAGGAGCATTGTACATCGCCAAGCTTACCGCAGCGATGGCATCATCGTAACCCTTCCTTCGTCTTGGCTTACATACTCTTGGGCTTCATGCCTGAACGTTGCACTCAGAGGTCTACCTCTACGAGCTCTACTACCGAGAAACGCGAGATGGTACTGTAGCTACACAGGTGGCACGAGTACATGCGTAGCAGGCAGGGCTTCATCGAACAGAGGGGCAGGGGAGGAGGTATGTAGTGTAGCGAAGGTGTACATAGACGCCCAATACCTACCCTAATTGTCATTATCTAAATACTACCTGCCTTTAATGTGTCGTCTTCTTGGGGGTCATTCATGGTGGCTTCAGTGCTTGGCTTCTGCTATGCTGCCGCCCGTCTACCGCTTCTTCACGGTCAATGGGAGTTACTCCAGGCTTGGTGTGGAGGTTCCGGACGGAACTCGAGAAAGGAATGATACAGTAATACATGATTCTAGAAGCTGTGGACTGAGAAGTGTGAAAGTTTACTATGTATGTGTTTGTGTGAGTATGATGTGTGAGTGTGAGGGTGAGTAATGAGTGGACGAATGGTGAGTGGTCACGATGGCGGTCAGTCGACGAGGGCATCGTCAATTGAGGATATCTCAGCGATAGTAGCTCTACTTGCCATGTCGTACCTAAGGACTATATAAGAAAAAAAACTTGTGAGTAGGAGAACTTTGAAGGCTGAACAAAACCAGCTGGAAATGATAATTGATTCGAACTTGGAAATGTCTAGAACTAGGTGCCCATTTTCGAGCTTCAGTCGAGCGTCAAAAGCCTGGCCCTGAGGAGAAAGACCACAACCGTTTACCAGCAGCAAAAATCTGATATGTCTTCTTTGGAGTACTACACATGACTTGCTAGCTAGGTAGTTTCAACCCTCAACATTACGCACCAAGGTGAGGAGCTCCTCTTCTTCCTTGCAATTGTACACTAGGTACACAGGTATGTAGCCAAGGTAGCCAAGGCTCCGCCGACTTGTTGTGAATCTTGGACTGAATCTCTTGGCCCCTTTTACCTTATTACGTACGTACATTCTCAAAATCCGGGGTAGCGCCTAAACCTAGACCCTTCGCGGCATCCGATGCAGTAGTAGACCGTGAAACCCCCAGAGAACTAGTAAGGAGAGGGGGGAGGGGGCAAAAGAAGAGGATACTACACAGTACCTAGAAAAGGCGGGAATATTTCGACCCTTCCATTGTTGAAGATTCAAGACATTCGTGAATTGTGAGAGAGGGGAAAGAGGCCGACGATCGTGGTGTGTAAGACGGGCGAGTACTTACCTTCGTCCGTCCGTTCCGTCGAAAACCGAGTTTTCCCTCCCTCCCGTCCTCTCAAGTTGTCAGCAATGGAGATCGATCGTGGATTATTATGTATGTGACTGACTGACAGAGAGACTGACCTCAATTAAGTAAGTCTACGTACTATGGATACAAGACACACTTTGTTCAGTGCTCACAGTTATCTCTCTCAAGCATCTCGCAAACGATGGGGTGATGCTAATCAAAAGGTTCCTTTCTTCACTCGTTACTACCACGTGAGGATCCTACCCCCATCCATTATCAGCTCGCGTAACCAGGTAAGTGGTACTGAGGTAGTCTAAGTACTAAGAAGTAGATAGCAAAGTACACCTCGCTCGCTGCTACCTACACTACTGCACATCCGCCAAAAAAAAATCCCACATCCCGCTCATTTCGACAAAAGCTCATGGGCTGCTGGGTTCGCGCCTAAGCTTGAATAGGAAGGCGGTTTTTGCAGCAGAAACAGTCGAGCGCTCCTCCTCCTCCTCCTCCTCCTCACGAAGTTTGAGGTTTCAATGTTGGAGTGGGGTTTTTGGGGAGAGTGGGAGAGTACCTAGTGTAGAGAGAGAGTTGGGGAAGACATCACGACCTCGGTCACTGTTTAGGTATAAACGCCTAGGAAACGGTGAAAGGTGATTGGTTGGCAGCTAGATCCATCCCCCTTGTCGAACGGCTTCCCATTTTCAGGAGTGTTCCTCCGGGCTCTCTGAGGGGCATTGTCCGGCCTGTCGCAGGGTGATGGATCGGATGTACTTTAATCAAAAAAAAGTTACCAGTTATTTTCCATATCGAATATCTTCGGAAGGTATAAGCCAACGTCTTGAGGCGAGTTGAGGCGATAAAAAAAAAGAGAGATTTCAGGTTGACCGGCGTGCCTGCGTGGAGAATGGTGGCGGGGCCACGGGGAAGGTTCGGGGACGGACGGGAGCGAGTACTACTTTCAGGAACCAGAAAAGTGTGCAAGTCGGCATGCTAAACAAAGGTTGTTAGGTCCTTTCACATCCCAATTGGTGACGATCATGGTTGTGATGGTGAAGTGGTGGTTGTGAATGGTGGTGAGTGTCAGGATGTTTCGCCTCGGAGACCGGCGCGACTGCTGGCGCCTCACCACTTGCGAACAGTATAACAAGCCATTGCGGGAACCTGCATTGAAGGGGGCAAGAAGCTGTGGCTGTGGCTGCAAAATTAGGGGGTCCAGCTCCCAGAGAATGATAGTTAGGTAAGTGCCATCATTACTCTTGGGAGAAGAGTTGACGAACAACCTGGTGATGGTGACGAGTGTTCGGGGGGCAGGCAAGCTGCCCACCCTGAAAGGTTGGATCCTGGGATGCTTAACAGAAAAGTGCAAATAAACGTCAGGCCTAACAATTAATTTCGCAGACGCTGCGGTGGACGCACATACCGTGCACTAACGTAATGTTAGTGTGTGGGGAGCTTTGTATGCATTCTGCGGGCGAAAGGCACTATGACACTAACTGCACTTTTCAGCGTGAACCTTGCTGTAGGGAGAGAGAGATAAAGACAAGAGATAATAGCATAGAAGAGGTGAGGGAGCGTAACTTGCATCTTTACATAGAATACACAATTACACTCAAAGACTGTATCTTTGTTACGGGCCTCTGTCTTTGCCAGCTGGCGGCCAGATCCAGGTGCAAGTCCAGCACTGGTACCGATAAGATACAATAGCCCCACTATCATTCTCTTATCGGGCAGGAGCCATTGCAGTTCGAGTTCAATCGAGTTCTGGGGTATGGTTTCCCCAGAAATTTTGGTTCAACTTCCGTCTTCGTTGTCGTCGTCGCCGTCATCGTATTTTGCTGTTTCACTCCCATCCCGCCTTCTTCTTTTTCCGATATTCTGGCAGTCGAACTCCTGTCCTTTCAACAACAACAACACTCAGCAGTTTTTCCTCGAAAACCACAGCAACAATGGGCAGAGAACTCCAGAAGCGCAAGAAGCGCTCGTCTCGCGCCACCGTCCAGACGCATACCATCAAGAAGAAGCACTTGAACCCCCAGGGCAGCGGTATCGTTGCCAAAGCATGGTCAGTACTCTTTTTTTCTCAACAGTTTTGAGAAAGGGATCGATTACTGATTCGCAACCTTTGATGTACAATAGGAACAAGAAGGAGACCCTCTCGCAGAACTACTCCCGCTTCGGTCTCGTCGCTAAGCTCGGCACCGCCGCCGGCGGCATGGCCAAGAAGTGCGCTTCCGCCAACTACGCCGGAATCACCAAGGACGACCCCCTGGCCGTCAAGTCCTCCGACCGCGGCCTGCTGCAGGTGCGCGAGGTCAAGGTGGAGCGTGACGCCTCGGGCAAGATCGTCAAGATTTTGCGCCAGGAGAACCCGCTCAACGACCCGCTCAACGAGATCGAGTCCGACTCCGAATCCGAGGAACCCAAGCACAACCCGACCCACGACATCGAATGGAACGGCATCAGCGACGACCGTCAGGAGGAGACGATTGATCAGAGCAGCCGGCCCGAGGTCATCCGCATGCTCGAGGAGGAGGCGTCGCGCCCCGTGGAGAAGACGGTGCGGTACCAGAGCGAGCGCGAGCTCGAGTGGTTGCAGAAGCTGGTGGCCAAGCACGGCGACGATGTGGCTGCCATGGTTCGCGATATCAAGCTCAACCCTATGCAGCAGACCAAGGGCGACATTTCCAAGAGGTTGAAGAAGGCTGGTTTGTTGCAGTGAGCGGAACGGACAATGGAAGAGACCTGGAGGGGAGAGACGGCAAGCGAGCGTGATGCCACCATCTTTAGAGTGTGATTGCTCGAAATGGGGTGGTTGCTTTTGGGGCCTTGCTGAGCTGGCTTCATGATTGAGGAGAGGGAGGTGGGGGCAAGGGAGCCAGTGCTACAGGTGCCCGGGCAAGTTCCAGCCTCATCCAGTAGGCTGGACCACGAAAGTCTGCGGGCGGCAGGGAGGAATAGAGCTCCAGCCCATTTTACATCAGCCAGAGAAGCACAAGTCCCGGTTCTCTCTTCTCCCGAGCTCTGTCGACCAGGAACAGCTGGGTTTAGGGACCGGTCCTTGGATCTCTCTTTCCTTACTCTCCCGCCGCTGTCGCCCCATCCCTCTTTATTTCATGGAGCGACCCTCTGATGGAAAGGGCAGGCATGCTTTCCTCAAGCTCCCCCAACCTTAACTTTAGAAAGGGGAATTTCCTCAGGTCAAGGTCGCAACCAGCATGGACAATGAACGGCATCACTTCGTATTGCGCTCCCCTTGCTCGGCGATAATAAGAGAGCACAAAAAGGAGGAAGGGGGACAGGGGTCAGGATTTTCTGTGCAGCATACATGCTATTTATTCATCACCCAAGATCATAGGCGTTTTAGGCGTTTCTCAAAGTACATGGAAAGAATTTAGTCATTCAGCCACATATATCCTATACCACCTAACAGTCATATACCAAGCAAGGCATAGGTAAAAATATTTCAACGAAGCCGATATGGGAACTATATATGGTAGTGGTTTATTGTCATTGAATTCATAAAAGGTATATCTCTCTTCTTTTTTTATGCATGATAAAACCACCAAGAAGGACCTGTGACGCCTCGCCAACGACACCCCATAAAAGCAAAAGCCTACACACACATACATACAGAAGAAAAAAGCCCAAGATGTTTCGTCTAATGCCAGCCAGCCAACCCCCCATAACAAAAAAGGAAAGCAGGTTAGCCAAAGACAGTTTTTTACATGACCCAAGCATGCTTTGCGGCGCACAGCAGCTACCCAGTAATCATCCGCTTGCCAGATTCAAAATCGACCAGTCCAGCTCATCCATCATCCCTATCCCTTGATTTCACTTCCCCTCCCTTTCTTTTCTTTTATCCCTTAACTTTTTACACATGTCCCCGTTCAATTCCTACCCGGTTGTAGGGGGCTTGCGGGAATCTCGTCGATGGCTCATCCTCATAGTCCCCATCATGCACACTAGGGGGGGCGTACCGGCTACCGCCACCGACGGAGGACTGATAGTCGTTGTCGTTATCAAACGGGTTATCCTGCCTGAAGGGGTTCTCCGACGGCGCCACCGAGCTTGCGCCGTACCGGCTGGTTTGGCTTCCCAGGTAGCTCGGCGTCACGCCGCGGTTGTATGAGTCAGCAGACAAATCGGTCAAGGGCGTGGCGCCGCGGTACGGGTCGGGCGTGCGGGCCGTGTTCATGCTCAGAGGGGTCTGGCCGCGATACGGGTCGGGCGTCATCTGGCTCAGGGGCGTGTGGCCACGGTACGGGTCGACCGAGAGGCTGCTAGCCGTCGGGGCGCCGTAGGGGTCCGAATAGTCCGAGCGTCCGCCGCCGCCGCCGACTTGGCCGCCGAGGTGCGTGTTGGTGTCGTCGTAGTCCGAGTGTCCACCGATTCCGCCGCCAATCTGGCTGTGCTCATCGTCCCGGTCGTTCACGTTAACGGGCGCATAGGCTTCTTCGTCGTGGGGGGCGAGCGAAAAGGCGGCCTTGTCGGGGTCGATGTTCTGGTTGCGGGCGTGCAGGTTGTCGTAGCCGGGGAGACGGTTGTTCCACTTGTAATACATGAGGGTGTAGATGCTCAGGAAGGTGGTAACACAGAAGAAGAGGCTGAATATCAGAAAAGAGATGTTGTTAGTGAGGTGCCCGAGGGGAATTCTTTGCGCTGGTGGACGCGCTGGTGGGACGTACAAAACAAAGAAGCCAAGACCGACGATGGCCTTGCTGATGCCGCACACAGACATGCATGAGCCAGCAGTGTTGAATGCAGCCTGGGTGGAAAAGGCAGAAAGCCAGATGATTGCCATAGAAGCGTCAACGGCGACCATGGCATGCGGCTGCGCGAGCTTGCGTGTCCGAGGGAATCGCGGGGCCATGCCTAGGTAGATCCACGCCGGTATCGAAATGAAGAACTGTTTGTGTGGTTTGGCAACGTCAGTCTCTGGTTTTCCTCTATTCTACCACTACTACTTCTATTTCGATTGGAAAGATGTGAGTTTAGACGTACCACTGCGAAGGTCCAGCCATTCTGGCCATTGATGGGCACCTTATCAGTCTTGAAGACGGCAATTTCCAAACACCATACTACAAAGCCCAAAACAATCTGGGCAACGTGGAAGATCAGTTTGAAGAGGGGGATCTTCTCCGGGTCGAGCTCCCAAGCTTGCCAGCCCATTTTTGCCAATCCGTGATGATGACTCTGGTGATTGGTGTTGATATGTTTCGGTAGAGTTTGGCGGTTTTGTTTGTTTCAACTGGCGACGCCGCGGTGTACAAGTAGCGCTGGAGGGGTTGCGTGGGATGCTCGATGTATCACGGTCGTCGAAATAAGCTCTTGAGACTCGCGGTGTTTAGGCGCTGCTAGGCCGGTTTCGAAGTTGGGATGACAGCCGACAGAACAGGTACGAGAGCTCGGGTTGGAATCAGGGCAATTTGCAATGTCGGTGCAATGTGTGCGGGATGTGCGATGCGCGCGCGTGCAACAGCCTCGTGACAGAGCAATCTGAAGTGTGCTTGCTGATGACGGTACAGTTTTGGACTCTTTGGAGGTCAGATGAAACAGAAAAACGAGTCGGTACGCCTGAGATGAAGTCAGAAACACAATGTTGGCCGGATATCCTGAAGGGTAAAACGCTGGAAGAAAGCTAGTAGCTGAGCTGTTCGAAGGGAAGAAGAGGAGGAGGTGGTTGGCAATGTCGTGCAAGATGGTTTGAGCGTCTTCGTCTGAATCTTGTCTGGGCTTGTCGCAAGTGCCTGGCAAACCCCCGATGGGAAGTGGGCCATCAACCAGGGTGCCCGCCTGTCGTGCAGTGCATCTTGGAGGAAGGACTGGACCCGAATGACGAAGGCGCAGTCCAAACCCGGGCACATGGCTCCACCCTGGCACTGGCCCAGCCACCGCGACAAACTCCTGGAGGGCTGTCTTGCACTGGTTTGCTGACCATTTTCTTGGACAGCGGCAAGCCGACAGACTGATCATGGACCAAGCATATGCGTACATAATATTGGTAGCACATACATAGGGCAGAGAGGGGTGGGCAAAAAGCATATATCACACAGCATATGATAACCAACCACCGGCGTTTACAGGACTACAATACCTCTAGGAGTCTCTGAACTTCTGAAGCGAGCGGCTGAGACTGAGAGAGAGGGATATAAGAGACAAGGGCCCCACGCTTGATATTCAGGTTCGCGGTGGATGCCCCACTGATCTCCCAGCCAGCTTGTGCCAGCTTATCCAAGTCTTCAAGCTGAAGCTGTCAAAGCTGTCAAGCTGTCAAACTGGCTTGCAAGAAACAAACACTGAGGACGCCGCAGATGTATAAGAATAATAGAGAGGCATTTGTGAGTCTGCTCATCAGCAGCTGCTTCCCGAATCCAACCCGATCCGATTAACTGCATGCTTTCCACCTCTTGGGAGCGTGTCTTGGCTGTTTCGGGGTGACCGTGTCAAAAATGGTACCTCTGGCCGTGAGGTGTGCCGGGAGGCAGCCCGTGCCCGGGCCGGCCAAGCCCCTGAAGGCTTTCATCCCAATTCGGCAAAAGGTAAACAATCACCATCGTCACTAAAACAGATGCAACTTGTATATCACGCTTGAACCCAGTCACGCTAGAGCGCAAGCAAGCAAGCAACAGAGATATACAACCAAAAAAGACCAAGAAGAAACCAAGATATAAAACCGAGTTCGCACGATAATGATGTCTATATATTCCCACTGGGTATCCCTGAATGCACGTAACGTTCGTACCAAGCAAGTATTGTAAGCAGCAACAGCAGCCAAACTTCTGTGTCGCTGATGTTATCCATCCCATCAAATTCCGCTGTCCCATCTTTCCCCATTTATCGAATCCCATCCCATCCCTTTCCTTCTTTCCCCACTAACAATCGCTCACCAAAATCAACTCAATCGCAACTGACTAACCCTCGCCCCCGCCCTCCTCACTCCCAAGCCCGAACCCGAACCCGAGCCCGGACTAGGACTAACCGCCCTACTACCCCTTGCACTCCCCGCTCTACTACCCCCTCTACTCCCCGCCGCACTTTGGCTGGGACTCGTCATCATATAACTCTGATCTATCTTCCAGATCCAATCCATCTTGTCCTTCTCGCTCCTCGCCGCAAACAGCCACGTGTTGTCCGTCCCGTAGATGGCGAACACGCCTGCTTGTAGGCGCTCGCTTAGTCGGTGGAGACCACCGCCTTGTTGTTGTTGCGGAGGTGAGGGCCCGTTGGTGGCAAGCGTGCCAGTGGAGGATGCCGGGGAACTGGTGCCGCTGCGGAGGGAAACGGCCGATGTTCTCCCGCCGCCGCCGCCACTGCCGCTTGCTACCCTGCCGTTGCTGCTCCTCGCTGTGGAAGTCATCGGGTTGGGCGAAGGGAGCGGGCTGAAGGTGGGCCAGAGGGAGGAGATGAGGAGGGAGGAGGGTGAGCGGCGTTGTTGTGGCTGGGGTGTGGGTGTGCTGACGTTGCCGTTAGATGTCCTGCCTCCTGCTGAGCCACTCATAATGGTGTCTAGGGGTCCACTTGAGCGACCGTTAGTGGCTCCTCTAGAGTTGTTATTCATGTTTCCGTTCAGGTTGTCTAGTGAGCCGTAACCATCATCAGATCCGGGCCCGCCACCATAGTCATCGTTCAGCAAACCTAGTATCCCCGGCTGGCTATCGACGCGCGAGTTCCTCAGACTCACGATCCCAACTTCTTCTCCATCTGCCACGCTGTGGATATGGAGATACGGTCTCCTCAGTTCGACGAACCGTTTGTTCCACTTGGTCGCATCGCTGTTGGGGACGAGAAGGTAGCCGCCCTTGAGAACTGTGGGGTTCTTGGGCACGCGGATGACGGACGCCACAAACTCCAGAGTCGAATTTTGATCAGAAATCGAGTCCGCGTAGCCATCAGTGGGCGGATCGGTGTTAGCAGGACTGAGGATCTTGACTGTTGGGTCCGGGTAGCGTTGCCAGAGCCTTAGGCAACTGTTGAGGAGGTAGGTTTGAGCGTCCGTATACTCCGAAGGAGGTTTAGTTGGGTCGGTGGCGTCTGGCGTGGGTTGATTATATTCTGTACCATTTGGTTGCTCCTCCTCCTTTGATTCAGTATTTGATGCATCTTCCTCCTCCGGAGATGATCCTTCCTCGGACGTCTGTACCTCAAGCTCCTCTGGCGGGTCATCCTTCAACAGCTCAGCAATCGAGTCCGTCTCACTATTGGTTTTAGGTGGCGGCAGATCAGAATCGTTCTCTGCCTCATCCAGGCCATTCGACAGGTTATTTGGATCATTAAACCCAAGCTTTCTCAAGGTTCCTTGCACCGCCGTAAGCTCAGTCATCATTCTCTTCTTCTTCCGCGCACTGATGTAGTCTGCCACGAGTGATACGCCTCTCGGCGTCCAGGTGCCGAGGTTCTCTTCACCCTTGACATAGTCATGCTGGCTACTCATCCGCCATAGGTCACCGACGCGTTTGATGGGCGCTGGGCGCATCTGTACCGTGAAGATACCTGTGGATGAGTGCACGATGCGGATGTTCTGCCAGAGCGAGGAGAACATGGATGTCTGGCGAACGAAGTTGCGTGATACGATCTGGACAGCGACCGGAAGAGAGAACTTGATCGGTTCGGCGAGCTTCTCTGAATCGATCTCCCAGGAGACAGTCATTTGCACGCGGTACTTTTCTGACGTAACACGGTCGAGCAACAACGAGTTATGAAGACTAGAGTCCCACTGCCCAATCAGGGTAACACTCCGGGTTCCATTGGCGTTCACCCTGAAAGTAGGCTCAGATACGAGTCGAAGGGGCAGAGGAGGGCTCGCTGAGCCCATGTCGGGAGTTTTGCCTGCGCTATCCAAGAGTGCAATCTTGCCGACCCGCAAAGATTTCGCATCGTTCCATGGTAGAGCATCGCCCGAGCTATGAGTGACGGTGATGGCGACCCGTCTTTGCAAGCCTTGATGAAGTTGGAACGTGCCATTGTCAAGTTCACTTGTCTGTGTAACTTCGACGGGCATATAATCGCCCTCCTCATTCAGCTCCAGTATCTGTACCCGTACAAGCAAATCGTGCTTCTCCTCAGTGTAGAAGTGGGTTTCGTTGATTCTTGCACCCTTGGGCTTACTTTGGGACGTAGGTACCGCATCGCGCATATCATCCCAGCTGAGCAGCTTGTCGAGATGCATCGCTGAAACCTTGGCGAAAATAGCCACTCTGAGGCAAGTGTCTTGAGACGCAAACAGCGGAATGCCCATGCTATGAACACTCTCGAACCGAATGGGCCCCTCGTCAAAGTCTCTGATCATCTGGGTGGTGGTAATACCGTCCTCCTCAGAAATGCCAGGGATGAAGAGCTGGGCGTGCACTTCTGTACCCTCACGTTCGGCGAATCCGATCATCTCGTGCATCACCACGTTGAACTTGAGCGTATTAGTCGGCGCCCTCGCACTCGAAGGCTCTAACGCCAGCTTGATCATGCCAATAGCGTGCGATGTGTGCGGGGATGTCACGTCGAGAGTGAAGTCCTGTACCCGGCTCTCAAAGACAGTCTTCAACGGCACATCCACTTCGCCCACCAGTGTGTACTGCGGCATACATGTCTCGACGAAGGGGTTATCGAGGCTCAAATGTTGCGCGTATTCGGGTTGATCGAGATACTGGAACATCTGCCGCATCTGCCTCACCCGGTCGTGGAGCTTCTCTATGCTCCAAAGGTGGACGACGCTGTGCTTGTAATCAACGACGCGAATGCCGACGCACGGCTTCGGTGCCGTTTCGAGAGCAATGTCGTCTCCCTCACCAGTCAGCCCATTAAGCACCATGTCGTAAGATGAGCAAAGAAGATGACCGACGTCTACGATCGTGAACTGGAAGACGACGCTCTCATTAAGCTCATGACTCATGACTTGTGCCTCCTTGAGAGTGGCAGCATGCTGCAGTACTGCCTCAGCCATGAGGACGTAGCGTCGACTCCTCCATTTCCTAACCACCGCCTTTGCACGCTCGATCTCGTCTGCAGAGAGCTTCGGGTTGGCCTTGGGCCGCTTGAGCGGATCCAACTTCTCGATCTTTTCTTCGAACTGGCGTTTTTGTACCTCCAATTGTTTTTGCATGTCGGCCTTGAGCTGCATCAGCGTTTCCTCCATCTTGGCCTTCTCCTTCTTGATCTCCTCCACCTCCACGTTCGCT